GTGGTAGCCTGAGGCGGTAGGAAAAAGCACGAACAATACTTCGACAGGAGGTCGTTCGTCCTCCTGATGATGAACTTGTTGACCGTCGCTCCCAGCTCCTTCAACGTCGCGTCTCCGACCTCCTTCTCGCGATCCGTCGCATCGCCATCACGACCTTTGATGATCGGCAGCTCAAACTTCTTGTGGAAATCGATCTTGGTGCCGAGGTAACCCGGGTTGCAGAAGTTGAGGAGCGAGAAATACTCGTCGAGATCGTTCTGCGTCGCGCCAGAAAGGTAAACAACAAAGTCACGTGATTGAAGAACGGAGGGGGACGAACCTGGATGGGAGTGCCGGTGAGGATGACGCGACGCTTGCAATTGATCTGGTTTAACGCGGTGTAGGTTTGGTTGACTGGAGTGTATGGGGCGTCAGTGAGACTGTAAATTAGGCCGTAGAGAAGTCAAGATGACGGACCTGAGTTCTTCAACCTATGTCCCTCATCAGCCAGCAACAGCCCAACCTCCGTCTGTCCGAGCTCCTCCGTCAAAGTCCTCAGCTTCTCGTATGAGACGATAACGACTACGATGCGCACGACCGGTTCGGTCAGTATCGCCCAGCGCCGAAGGAAGGGAGGAGCACGAACTGGGAGTGACGACGCCCTTGCCCTTGGTCGCGCACCACTGTCTGACCTGAGCGACCAACTCCTGACCAGCAACCTTTCCGTCGATAGCGAGTGGCGAGACGGCTCCTTCTCCCAACCACTTGACTGCGTGCCGACGAGGTGAACGTCAGCTGAGTGCTCATCGTGAGTGAGGAGGAAAGAACAAACCGAGCTCGTTGGCCCAGTTGCGAACGAGTGACGAGGGGCATACGACGATAGCCTTGTCGATGGACGACTTGCCAGGAAGCGGAGACTGCTTGAGGAGCGTCCAGAGGAGGGTGATGCATTGGAGCTGAAGAGGGGTGAGGTGACGTGGTCAGCATAAGAGCGCGCGGAATGGGAAACAACAAGATTGTACAGTCTTTCCGAGACCCATCTCGTCGGCCATGATACATCTGAGTACAGAAGGATCAGTCAACAAACCGGGAAGTCACCGAAAGGAAAGGAAGAGACGCACCCTTGAGCGCCCTCGTCGATCATGCCCGTCACACACTTGTACAGGAACTTGACTCCCTCGACCTGGTGCGGACGCAAGACCTTGCCGACCCTCGGATCGATCACGACGGGCACCTTGACCTTGACCTTGTTCATCTCCTCCCTCGTCTTGATCCCGAGAATCTCCGCCAGACTCCTGTGGAACTTCTTCCTCTCCTTCTCGTCCTCCGCCTCGCCCTCGTCGATGACCTTATCCTTCTCCGCCTCCAACTTGGCCCTCAGCCTCTCCTCCTCCCTATCATCCACCGTCGGGTCCCACAGCACGATCGCGTTCCCCTCCATCGGGTCATGCAACGGCCTCGGCGGCATCTCGATCGCCCTCCTCGTGCCCAACGCCTGTCCCGTCAACCTGTTCTCCAACAACATGCCCTTCTTCTTCATCCCCGGCAGCTCAAACTTCCTCACTAGCACATCACCCGTCTTGGGCTTGTACACGGGGAACTTTCTCGGACTCCTGGGCGCGACGTACTTGTCGACGAACCCGCGCTTCTTCTTCGCATCGTCGTCCGACTCCTCCGCCGCCTTCTCCTTGGCGGCCTTCTCTCCGGCCTTTTTCGCGCGTTTCTCGGCTCGAGGGTCGTAGTCGTCGGCCGGGGTGCCGGCGGTGGCGTAGAAGTCGTTTTCGTCGTAGACGCGGTCGCGGCGCTTGCCGAGGACGGAGGGCGAGTCTTCCGGGGTCGCGGCGCCGCGTTTGGCGCGGATGGTGGACACTCGAGAGGTGGTCTTGAGAGATGGAACTTTGAAGGCTGTTGTGGTGGAGGAGGAGGAGAGGCGAGGGCGCGAGGGACGGGGAGGAGGACGGCCAATGTTTTGATTGTTTGGGGAGGTGAAGGCGCGTCAGCTTCGTTCTCGTTGGCACCAAGACGCATTCACCAGCTCAGAAAAGGAAATAGATAAAGATATTTGGCTCACCCTTGAAGGTAGGAATGCCAAAGCCGCCTCCCGAGGCGGAACGAGGGAGGTCGGCGTGGTTGAGCGTCGAGTCGCGCGCTGAGGTCACGAACGACTTGCGCATCGTCAAGTCGTTAGAATCGTGGAGAGTGTCGAGAGAAGTGGTGCGAGTTGTGGTGGTGTATGTGTCGTACTTGATCTAGAGTACCGCTGCTGCCGCCGCCGTCGTCGTCGTCGCCGTTCGACCTTGTTTGGGCGAGAAGGCGCAGCGGGAGAAGCGAGATCGACGGGAGGAACGAGAGGCTCGTCGTGCGAGTTGTGGCCGTAGGGTGACACTTCTATCACTAATAGACAATGGTGCCGATCGTGCGAGAAATGTCGAGAGTGATGGAAGGAAAGCAAGCCGGGCGTCCTCTGCGCGCCGTCGAAAACCAGTCGCGGACTCGCGGCCTCGCGAAAAATCACAAGTCCCGCGACGCCACGTAGCCGAATCCTTCTCGCTGCCTAGCAGTTGATCCATTATTGCAATAGCTCTGTTACTTATATTTTTTACTTGTTGAACCCGCCTCGAAATCAGTGTGGCAAGACACACCTGACGGCACGACCACCGGTCGCGAAGGATCGTTGCAATCACACCACACGCGCGCCACGTCTCCCATACGATGCGTCAAACTACAAAAGCCGGATTCTCGAGTAGATGTGGCTCGCACTGGCATTCTTCCTGCGCTGCTTGCATGAGGGACAGACCTGGCCACGTATCACCTCCCGTGATGGAAAGTGTCGTCCCCTCAGCTCCAGGAGCAGCCAGGGCGTTGGATGCTCTACGTGCTTCACGTATCGCTCTCTGGCTCTGGTTGTCTTCTCTCCATACGAGTGTGTCTACAATGTGGTCCTTCAGTCATCTGAGGTCCGTTCCTCCTCCCATCAACCAGCCACGAAGCAAGCCACGTACTCATATCACCCTCGGTCCCTGTCCCGCCTTGGAGGAACTACAGCCCAACCCCCTTCGCGTCCTACTTCCAGAGCCTCCCTCTCACCCCAAACACCTTCACCATCCTCATCGGATGGAGCACGCTCCTCTCACTCGTCTACGTGACGGTGTGGACAAGATACCTCCGTCTCACGGGACTGACGAAGAGCGACAGGCGGATGGTGTATAACGCGTTCCTCTGTATTTGGGGGTTGGCGCGTGAGTCCTGCTCACTACTTTTTGAAGTGTGATTTGCTGATGGTAGAGCTTGCGACGAAGCTGGACCGACGAGCCTCGCTGTCCTAAACTCAAAGTGGTTGTGGTCGGGTCGGGACGTGCGACCGAAGCTGATCCTCGCGTCGGCATTGGGTGAGCTCCAGAAACGTCCAATTGTTTTCGTGAACGTATTTCTTACTCTTGCATTCAGCCATGTTCCCAGTTCTCGTCACCATCATGTAAGACCTCCTGGCAAAACATACCCTGTTTCACAATCAGTCCTGACCACGTCTCCCAGCTCATCGCTCCTCAATCTCCGCCAACCCACCCTTCCCACCACCAAGCTGTCCTTCATCATCAACCGAGAATTCACCTCGATCCTCCCCTTCCTTTGGCTTATGTGGTCCGCCCCTTTTCTAGTCCTCTCATCATGCTTTACCTTACTCACCCTCCATCCTCTTCCACAAGTCCACACTTCACACTCCTCCTCTCCGACCCCTCTGGGCACATGCCACGACTCATTCCCGAAGCCCTAGAGGTAGTGTTTGGGTTCACATGGATCTCGTCCCTCCTCATCAGACCTAGAGACCCGCTCAAGCCACCAAAAGTTCTGATGGCGGAGTATGTGGCGACGTGGGCGTTGATGTCTGGTACGTCGCGTAGCTTGTTTGCTAAGGGTGAGAGTATTGGTTTGCTGACAGAAGACCCTTGAATTTCTACAGTTCTGTTCAGTCCTTGGGCACTCTTCGCGATCCTCTTCCCCGTCGCTCGCAACGAGCCCAAGTTCACCTTCGCGAGGATGGTCGGGTCGCAGGTCCTTGGTGCGTCGTTCTCTCGCCGCGTTCCTTGACGCTGGACCTCAAAAAACGATTGCTTTGAATCGAATAGTCATTGGATACATCCTTTGGGTCATTGTGTGAGTCCACGCTGTCTCGCTCCGAAGTGTGGGGTTTGATTACTGACGACAAGGGAGACCTCAGCTGCGTGATCCGTCAAGAGGACTGGGCGACGCGTGAGGAGAATCTCCCTCGCACTCCATACACTGTACAGGCAGACTCATTCTACGTATGATATAAGAAAGGGCTGGTACTGACGACCCATTGTCACGCGCTTTCACAGACCGACTTCAAGTGCGTGCTCGACCCACCGGCGTCTCCGTCGCTCGTCGAGCTCAAGCTCGACAGCGAGGCGCAAGAGTGGGATGAGAAAGTTGGAGAGTTTGTCGTAGTGCAGATGGATTGATCATACGCTCTGAGAATGGGTTGAGACAGAGGATTAGGAACGGGCATAGTGCAATCATTATTTCCAATGGCTATCTGGAGGGCAGCAGCGGCTTGAGACGAGCTCAAAAAAGCTAGTTAAAGAGAAGCCACCTTTAGGCTGAGATACTACGGCTATATGCTTTAGTCCAGAAGGTGGGGAGCTGTCACGGCCTTTCGGCAACGAGTGGTGGTCCTAACGGCGTTGCACCGCCCCGTCTTTTTGACGATCAGGCAGCACGTCAGGTTTGCCCACCTACCATCACGTCGCACAGCACTCACAGACAAATCCATCTCATACAACTTGGAAGCGCTCATCAACTGAAGCAATGACAAAGGGAAGAGAGAGCGGAGGGGCAGCATCCGCCAAGTGACGAAAACACCGGCTGCAACGAAAAAGACAGAAAGGGGAAAAAGAGGAACGATGTACAGAAAAAAAAGCTGTGACGTGGAAGACCGTTCAAAAATCTAGTCATGCACATTCCTGTCGCAAGACCCACAAAAAAGGCAAAAGAAAAACTTGAGCAGTCCCGAGAGCGGATTGAACGCCCGACCTGACGATGGATTCCGGTGTTAACTGGAGTCGCCCGCTCTACCACTGAGCTATCAAGACAATTTTGTGGTGGCAGAAAATAAAATGCTTGACACAGTTACATCATTTACCCCTTCTGTAAGATAGCTTGGTGTGCGTAAAGGCATTTAACCCTGTACTCCTTCTTCTCCCTTATGGAGCTCTTCTGTAATCGAGATGTTAGATACAAAAAAAAAACTCTTCCTTTGGCCTGGGTAGCTTAGCGGTAAGCTACAGGTGTCAGTTGTTTCGTAGGTTGAGCAACTGTCGTGGGTTCAAATCCCACCTGGGCACCAGCTCGCGGGTTGAGGGGCCCAATTCAGAGCAATCTCTGCCGCATTCCAAGACCTTATCAAACCTTCCGGGAGTTTTAGTGGGTAACAGCTTAAGCTGAGTCCCACACTACCAATCACTCTATTGGTGTGCGCAAAGCATTTCTTCCTTTATCTCCTTCTTCTCTTGCTGTAGTCGAGTAGCTCCTGCAATAAGAGTCGTTAGATACAAAAAAAAAAAACTCTTCCGCTCTGACTACCATCTGGGGGAAGAACAGAAAGAGCCTTGTCTCCCTAAAAAGGTTATGTACTCCCCTTAAAAAGGGAGGTTTTGGACTGGTTGACTTGACCCTACAACTACAGGGCCCCAGGGCTCAGTGGATTCTCGATCTCCTCCCCTCCTCGTCGTGGGAAACCCGCCATCTCCGGGCAATACGATCTATACCTATCAAGGACACTCTACTCCGGCAACGACTATATTTCGACAACCCGTTGTTGCGGAATGCGCCCAAGAGGGAGTGGACTTGGTGGGCCCTTTTCTGCCTCCCCTGCTCTCCCGCATTTCAGGACGACCACTGGCTCTCTACCCACACAGCCCTCAAGAACGACTTACCAGATCGATGGCAACAATATCTCCTTGCATGGGAAGCCTCAGTCACGCTCTCTCCTTCCCTCTCCTCCTCCAGAATCGAGTGGTCCACCTCAGTCCTCAACCCCCAACTCTCCAACCGCCACACTCTCACTATTCCCTACAAATGGTTCCGTGAATCATGGAGTGGTAACCAGCTAAGTGTCACTTCCTTTGCCAAGTCCACCGCTTCCTTCACTGAAGCCTCCTTTTCCATAATTTATCCTCCCTGGCCTCCCTCTCCTTCCCTCCAGGCTCAACACTGGAAAGCGTACTGGATCTTCCTCAAAAAGCCACGCCACATCCTTCCAGACGAGACCAACACAGCCCACCTTCTATCCCTCCGATCCCTCCACCCAGGAACCCAGGTAGCGGCCAAACCCACCCGCACCCCCAGCACAGCCTCCAGCACAGCCTCCTTCCCCAACAACGGCACTCCTCACTGCAGGGTCTGCCTTACCACCAAAGCTGAGTCCATTATCCATATCTTCATAGAATGCGAAGTATCTATTGAAATTTGGAAACTAGCAACAGAAGGAACCCAGCCCCACCCCACCCTCCAACAACTCATCTGCCCACCCTCCCCCTCCAACGCCACCCTTCCCTCCATCCTCCTCCAAATCCGCTACATTCACCACATCTGGAAGCTCTCGAGATCACGACGGTTCTCCACCATCACTCCTCTCCTCCCCATCGACCAGCCTGCCCTCTCCCGCCTAGCCAGCAAGATCCACACCCCCTCACCTTAACTCCCTCCTCCCTCCTCTCTTCCCTTCTCCCGGTTTTAGTGGGTATTATCGACACTAGATGGAGTCCCACACTACCAAGATAGCTTGGTGTGCGTAAAGGCATTTAACCCTGTACTCCTTCTTCTCCCTTATGGAGCTCTTCTGTAATCGAGATGTTAGATACAAAAAAAACTCTTTCCTGGGTAGCTTAGCGGTGAGCTACAGGTGTCAGTTGTTTCGTAGGTTGAGCAACTGTCGTGGGTTCGAATCCTACCTGGGCACCAAGCTCGCGGGTTAAGGGGGCCCAATTCAGAGCAATCTCTGCCGCATTCCAAGACCTTATCAAACCTTCCGGGAGTTTTAGTGGGTAACAGCTTAAGCTGAGTCCCACACTACCAATCACTCTATTGGTGTGCGTAAAGCATTTCTTCCTTTATCTCCTTCTTCTCTTGCTGTAGTCGAGTAGCTCCTGCAATAAGAGTCGTTAGATACAAAAAAACCTCTTTCTTTTGTCTTTTCATTAGAGCCTGACATGCGTAATGTTGATCCAAAGCTTTGACGAGGGGAGCAAGTCGCGTCGTTCTGCCCCCAGTCGCCCGTCCCCTCGCCGCCAAGCATCGAGCTCATGAGCCACATTTGGGTGACATTTCAGAACACATTCTCTAACAGTTTGCCATCTTCCCTTATAGATCATTTGGAAACAACATCACGTTCAAGAACCAAGCACGTTCCGTCTTTAGCTGAACAAGTCCAAGAACTTGCCACCCCACGTCGTCGCGGGTGGGTCCTCCTCCTCGTCCTCGGGGTTGATCTTGCCAGTCACCAAGTCGGCGGTCGCAGGATCAACCCACTGAATGGGGTGCGAGGAAGAAAGATTGCGTCAGCCGCCAAAGATCTTACAGCTGTTCTTTCGGAGGGAGCCAGGCGAGGAGGAAAGGTGACCAACCTTGCTTTTCTTGACGAGCTTGTAGATGACAGCTGGGAGGATGTAGATAGGAATACCGATGTACGACGCGATAAAGTCACTCGTGTTCCAGTTGCCCTTGATAAAGACGCCGAAGCCTGGTCCCCGCACGTGGTGTCAGCTCGCACATCCGTATCAGTGAGTGTACAGGAAACGTAGCGCACCAGAGAAGAAGGTAATGACGAGACAAGCGATCATACTGAAGTACGAGAGGTACGGCTGGAACGGCGCCTTGAAGGGAAGGGTGTTGCGATCCACGCCCTGCGCCTTCAGCGCTTTGTGCATGCCGATGTACGACCAGCAGATGTTGGCCCAGCAGAGCAAGCCGGCAACGGTCGTCATCTGTTGCTCCGGCTCAGTTAAGTTTTGGTTGCAAAGGAGGTGAAGGGACCACGTACGTTTTGTAGCCACGTAAAGGCAGCTTCACTTCCTCCGCTTCCGACACCTGTGCAGCACGTCAGCATCGGAAGGCTCTATACCTCAAGAGGAGATGCTCACTCAAGTAGGCGAGAAGTCCAAAGCAAGCCGTGATGCCGACACAGAGGTAAGGGTTGCCGTTCTTCGACGTCCTGAGGAGGAATCGTGGCGCCTGTCCCGTGACCGCGAGCGCGTAGAGCGTGCGGCTGGACGTGTAGATGTAGGTGTTACCTGAAGAAAAAACAACTGGGTAAGCTTTGGAGCGTCCTCATCGAAAATCGAAAACGCCGCACCAGCTGACCAGGCCGAGGTGAGGATACAGGCGTTGATCAACGAAGGAAGACCTTTGATCCTACAGCAGTGAAACGGGATCTGATTAGCGGGCTGGACGTTTAGCTTTCTTTGCTGAGGTAATTTACCCAGCGTTCTCGATAGCGATGACGAAGGGCGAGCTGGCAGCGTTTCCAGTACCGGAAAGCAGGTTTTCGTTGGTGTAGGGAACGCTGAGGAGGGTAGAAACGTCGGAATTGGTCCTGAGCTCTGACTTATGACTTCTATCACTTACAGCATTCCGATGATGAGGATTCCCACGCTGTAGAGGTTCGATAGCTTGTCAGCTTCCCTCTCGCTTTGCTGAAACCGGTGACCCGTTGCTTACACGTAGAAGAACACTGTTGCGAGCACGGAAAAGTTAGTTTCTGGATATCAAGGAGACCATTGCGGAAACTTTGAGACGCACTGATTCGGTACATGACCCTGCGCACAGCCTTGGGAATCTGCTTCGTGGGGTTCGACGCTTCACCAGCCGCCAAGACGACACACTCGGTTCCCTGGTCTGTTAAGAGCGGTGAGGTCAGAGACGTAACTAGTGTCAAAGCAAGCTTAGGCTTTACAAGTAAAGGACGAGTTGATGAAGGCTCTGCAGTGAAGGAGCTAGCGGTGAGTGACTGTGTGCGCCGGCGAGAGAGAAATGAGCACGGACGAGAAGAAAGCCAGGAAACGACCAAGAGCACCACCGACGCCAGGGTACTCGTTGAAGGCACCTGGGTTGTTCCAGTACCGGAATCCAATACTATATTTGCCGGTGAAGCGAAACGAAAGAAGCAAGTGAGGTCACCACATCAGTGCCACGTTGTATGCGCGCGGCCAAAGGAGACTCACCGATCGTGGGTGGGTCCACCGCCGAGGTCAAGGACAATTCCGAGGATGATGAGTCTGCAAATTGTGGTGAGTGATTAATTCGAGCTGCAGCAAGGAAGTGAAGATGACGAACCCAACAAAGGTCAGGACCTTGATGGAAGACGTGACGATTTCCGCCTCGCCGTAGTACCGTACGCCTGTGGGGCATTATCAGCAAATGTGAATTCATCCGATAAGCTCAATGTTGACTTGCCAGCAAAGTTACATAGGACCATGAGGACGAGACCGATCGAGATCCAAATGGCGGACGAGAGCGAGGACCAGTCTGGAGAGGAAGGTCAAGTTAGAGAGGCTCAAAGAAAGAGAGAAAGAAGACTCACAAGACACAACGATGGCGGCGGCGGTGAGCTCACTGGTGGTGACGAGTGCTGTCAGCGGCTTGCTACCACGTGGGAGACGGAAAGCAGCTCTCTTGCTTACGTGGCGATGGAGATCGAGTACGAGTACCAATCTACATGCAAAAAAGTGGTCAGCTTATATTAAAACAGTGAAAGTCACAGAAGAACGCTCACAGTTCCAACCAAGGGTGAATCCGAGCGACTTGTCGAGGAAGCGCGACGAGAAGGACGGGAACGTGCCCGACGACGGGAACATCGTCGCCTGCTCACCAGCGGCATTCATCACGCCCCACAAGATAAATCCAGTGATGATAAAAGCCATGAGCAAACCGGCTGGTCCGGCCTTTGACAGCGCGGCACCCGAACCGACGAACAGTCCGACTCCGATTCCTGTGGCAGGGGTTAGTCGGTCGCCCCATTTATTGACAAACGGGCCAGGACGTGCCTCCTCCGAATCCAATGAAGGTAATGTGTCGGCCTTTGAGCCTTCGCTGG